GTGATTTGCTGTAAATCAATATGTCGTCGAAATAAACAACGCAAAATTTATTAAGGTAGTGTTTCAATACCTCGTTCATCATTCGCATGAACGTCGCCGGAGCGTTGCAAAGACCGAACGGCATCACGCGCCATTCGTACAGCCCTGAACTTGTTTTGAAGGCTGTCTTCCATTCATCACCTGGTCGTATCCGAATTTGATGATATCCGCTCCGGAGATCCAATTTGGAGAAGTAGCTTGCGCCCGCTAATTTGTCCAGCAGTTCCTCCAGACGCGGTACCGGAAAACGGAACTTAGTCGTGATTCTGTTGATGGCTCTACTGTCTATACACATCCGCCATTTATTGTCTTTCTTTGGAACAAGCAATGCGGGAACGGCACATGGACTCAAGCTCGGTTGTATGAGCTGTTTGTCTAACAGCTCTTGGACCATCTCTTGGAGGATTTCGTGTTCCTTCGGACTCATTTTGTAATGCGGAAGATTGGGCAAGTTGGCACCGGGAACGAAATCGATCTGGTGCTGTATGCTGCGAACCTGAGGTAGTCCTGAGGGAAGATCCGTGGGAAGTAAATCTTCAAACTGCTTAAGTACAGACGTAACAGCTTCGGGAAGCTGATTCTCCTCTAACCGTGGTATTGCGTCTGTTACAACTAGAGCATAAAGCTCGGTTTTAGCTCGTTGTGCTAGTAAGATATTGCCGGTAACCAGGTGCAATGTGGCCTTGCCTTTGCTGTATGAGTTGTCAGTTGAACTACTGTTTGGCAACAGTCTTATCTTCCTGCCTTTCCAGTCAAGCGAATAGGTATTAAGGCGTCCATCATAGACGACTCCGCTATCATATTGCCACGGCCTGCCCAGGATAATGTGGCAGACGTCCATTTCAAGGACGTCGCAAAGAACTTCGCAATTGTAGCTCTTACCGATGGAGAAGGTAAGTCTACACATGTCCGTTACTAACACTTCGATTCCCTTCTTTACCCAACTGATTTTATAAGGGTGTGGGTTTTTAGTTGTCCTCAATTGTAGGGCTTGAACGAGAGCACGCGAGACGATGTTCTCAGTGCATCCGTTATCCACGAGCAGGTCACAGACTTTACCGTTGACGGTGCAGCGAGTACGAAAAATGGCGTTGCGCTGTGACGCATTAGGCATTCTTGGAGCTAAGAGCAATCGTTCCAGCACACACATAACAGGGTCGCCCTCATCCGCTATCACATCCTCTGCCTCTTGATCGTCATCGCCAGCAATTTCTACAATTTCATCATCGCCTTCTCCTTCAATAAGTTGCACTTGAGGACGGGTGGGACACTCATTGGATTTGTGGCCAACTTGAAAACATCGAAAACATTTCAATGTAGATGGCTTGACATATGGATTCTCCTTGCCCGATGGTTTGGGCCTATGTGGGAACTTCTGGTCATTTGCATAACCGGTGTTCGCACCCGCTGTTGTTGGCATTGGAGTATTCTTCGTATTCTGGATGCTCGGTCTTTGTTCGGAGGAATACTCTACTCCTGGCTTACGGTAGCTCGAGCTACGGGAAGGTCGATTCAACTGAAGTTCCGCCTTGAGACTGAAATTGACAGCTTGAGATAGTGTCCACACGGAATTGAGCTCGAGTTTATCCTGTATGGCTTCTCTCAATCCTCCGATATACCGAGCAACAAGCTGTGTTTCCGATTCATGGAGGTTATTGCGAGCACTGAGGCGATAAACTCTTCAGTGTACTCACTGACAGATCTATGATTCTATGTACAATGTTGATACCGGACATAGAGGAGCTGTTCATAATCCGTTGGAAGAAAATGAGACCTCATCATCTGTTTCAACCTGGCCCAGCTGCGGACGTCCCCTTTTCCTTCCCGCCGCCTATTTTGCATGACTTGCATCCACCACGCTCCGGCTCCTCCTTTCAGTCTGCACGCGACATATTTCACTTGCTTTTCAGGACTAATGTCCATGTAATCAAAAAAAGTCTCAACGGAACGCTCCCAATCGAGGTAATCCTCAATGTGCAATCGGCCTTCGAAGAAAGGAATATCGAGCTTAACTCTGAATTCCTGGTGAGGGCGTTGTTGGCGGTACCTACCTCGCCGAACAGGACATGGATAATCAAGTTCACCATCTTCATCCGAGTCGGATTTGTTAACCGTCTGCGGTGGGGACGTTTCTCTATGAGCCCGGGGCTCGTCGTCAGAATCAGAGAAATGGAATCCCGTCGCAAGGTTCCTTTGCTCCGGTCACTCGACTCTGCCAGTCATCCTTCCTACATTGAGCTCCCGGGGGCCGCGCAGTGCATTTGGATCAACTGCTTCTCGGGTCGGACGATCTCTTCGGACCTCTATCGCCAGTTGCTTAACATCGGCAGCGAGGGCAGTGAGTTGATTGGAGATTGTGGTTTGCAACGCCCACAATGCGTCTAAGCTTCGATCATCGTCGGAAGCAGCTCGTCGGCTAGATTCCGCCATTGACGCCGGCCCAGGTGTGTGTGCTCTGATACCAACTGACGTCTTCTCTTCGCACAACCTGCAAACAACCTTAGCCAAGGGGAAGAACAGGCAATGGAACAGTAAAGAGAAAGTTCTCTGAATTCTATATTTCGTTCTCCCTCTTTCCTCAGCCTCCCTTTCCCCTTGTTTCCAAATTTACAATTCCCTCATTATTACTTTCCTATTCTATATTTTCTCTTTTGGAAGGTTACAATTTCAATCATTCAAAGTCAAATTTGAATTTGAAACGTTTCCTAAAATAGAATTATATTTTAGGAAAGTTTCTAAAATCAAATCCAAATTTAATTTGAATTGGATTGGAATTAAATCATATGTCCTAATTTGATAATCCTATTTAAGAAAGTAATAAACCTTGCTTAATCTCCCCAAATTCCCTCCCTATGCCGCCGGCCCCCTCATGGTGCCCTATTGAATTAATTTCTAAACTTCAAGCCCCTCTCTTGGAAATAATTCAAAGCCTCTCCCTCTCTCTTACCCGCCCCCACCCCTTTCCAAATCATCCTTAAATCCTTTCCAAGTTAAAGGAGTAACTTGGAAAATAATTTCTTAGTTTCTCTCCATCCTCCCTCCACTAAAATCTGAACCTATTTTCTTTCCAAATCACTCCTTTGGCCAACCACCTATCACCCTTCTTCTCCACTTGAATCCTTGAGAGAAACTTCTTTCCCTCAAGGGAAATCTTTAAGGGAAGCGAAGGACGTCGTCTCCAACACTTCAACCCTACGGAATCAATGTATGGCCGATCCCGGTCTTGACTCCGGCTTCGTCTACAACGAGCAAGGATTCATCGACATCCTCCGGTCGACTTTCTTCAACGTCAACCTGGAAATAGACATTTCCGTTGATGAGTACTTGGATCGCATCATCTTCACCTTATCTAAAGCAATCGAAGAGCAACTTGCCAACGTTCAGTGGCAAATCACCTCAGTCCCGCGACAAGGGTGAACTTTTCCTACTATTCAATTTTCTCCTAATCTTCTTTTTTTGTAGGTTGTGATTCAAATACAAGGAGTCGTGCAAAGCTATCTATCAATGCTTAGTAAATGTAAAATTTGAGTTTTGCTTTTCTATGCTTTCTAATCTCATTGTTAACCTAGGGATTCTATTGAAAATCTACTTAATTTGCATCGGTTGAAATTCTAAATTGCTTTGATGATCCTAGCTTTTAGCATGTGATTGACCTAAGCAGAGCAACTTCTCTCTTGTTTTATATTATCGTTTATTGGCTAACATTTTAAATTCTTATTGCTCTTATTCAAAACGTGCAAGTTCTTATCGCATTCATTTAAATCATACTTAATCCTGCATCACATTCAATAGCCACCTAACGTCTCTCTCGTATAAGGGTGTTTACAAGAAGTGCTAGGAATTCCAGCGCTCCAAAAAAAACTTGCATGGTCAGTGTTTCTAGACGTTGCGATTGGGTTGTCTTTTACCCATCAGGCATGGACCAAACCCCAACCCCATGATGTGTGTGCGTGAGAGAGAGGGAGAGAGAGAGAGAGAGAGAGAGAGAGAGAGAGAGAGAGCAAGGAAGAAGAGTTCAGGGGATTGATTTAGAAGAAAGAGAACATGGCGAGCCCAAAGAATATGGGGTGTGTTTAAGTAAGCATACATTTGGTACTTGACCCTCAATGGAATTGTTGATGGCGGTGAAAAGGGACATTCACAGAAGGCTGCAGTTCTTGTAATATGGTAACTCCAAGCAAACTCTTTTTGACAGAAGTGGATCTTTGTGAGATGGCGCATATGGACCTTCATATAAAGCTATGCCAACGTGGCATACCTAAGTGCAACTGTTTGAAAGTAGACCTGAATGAGATGGCCCTTCTAACTTATAATTTCAAAAATACTTTAATCTTACCAGCTAGATTAATTGTTCTTGGATTTGGAGATAGGCATATAATGAAGCGGCATTGGAACTAATGAAATTAAAGAAAGCTTTAAACAAACATTAAAACAGCTCGGAATCAACAAATAGACATAGTAAGCATTATCCACTAAAACTTTTGGGGTTCAGAAAATTAGCAATGTAACAAGACCATCCGGAACCCTCAACAAAGAAAAGAAATCTTTGAAAGACAACATTACGCAAAAAGAGTAATATTTATCTCGCTAGAGAAACCTATAAGTTTCTATCCAATTATATGATAGCTCAAATGCGATTTGACAAAAATGCAAATCTTCTTAAATATTTGATATGCAGCTAATGTATTATTTAAAGTAAAACTATTAGCTACTTAAGAGAAGAAAAAGGTGGTTTATTCTAAAAATCAGTTGACATTGTCTAGAATAGATTTGAGTATACTGAATTGTTAACAAGTGAACCAAACTGGAAAATGTTTTCTTCCTGGAACTATATCCAGTATAAACAAACTACTTAATGGATATCAAGTCAAAGAAAATAAAATTTGTCACATAAATATAAGATGTATAATACCAACTGACAAATGGGCAGTGACATGAAAATTATCTATGTGAAACATTGTCTAAGGAGTATAGCATTGCTCTGTTAAATATCTAAGAAATACCTCTATTAGGTTTTGAAGGAAGCCTTCATGGACGCGCCTTAGATGGGCTTTAGGAAGCTGCAAAAAATTGCACTATTTACTTAACATGTAACAACGCTGAATTAACATTATTCACTGATGCTTAGAAAATATTTTATCAACAACGAACAAAACATTGAATATTTTAACTAAATATGTGGTACTAAGTCAGCACAAAACAAATCACTTTAATATCTAAATGATTAACGGAGAAAGAAACAATAGAATGTGAAACAGTACATAAGATAAACTAATCAACCAGCATGAACGGGAGATATAATTGTCACAGAACCATACTGAAACTTCTCATTTTCATGAAAAGAATAAATCCACTATACGATGATGATTAAAAAAATAGAGGATGACATACACCATGAAAAGTTACTACATCAATTTTTAATTTTTTTAATCGGAAAATCTGTAATGTAAAAGACCACATTTACTCCAAATGAGGAGTCCAAAAAGGAACTGTGTGGTAAACATAGCAGAAGTACTCTCAAACAATAGAAAGCATATACAATCCTAGAAAACATGCCATAATGCATTCAAGATATTATCTAGAAATGGTACTGGACTGATATTCTGCATGTCATAAAGAAGAAACACCTTCGCGTGATATGCAGCAGCCCTAACACCAGATCTGCAGAAAAAGTCGGCTAATTTTATTGTTTCATTCCTGGTAGGAACATATATAATCGTAGGACCCTGTCCTAGGGGTTCAAGGGTAACAGGTGCCTGTGTTGCCTCAAAATGCTCCATATGCTTATGTGGACTTCTTTCAAGTAACTCGGCACATGATACTGCAAATGCAAGCATAAAAGTAACAGTTCAGATAAAGTAATTAATCAGAAAAACTGCAAAATATCAACATGCTTGCGCTGTCTACATATTAAAACAAGACAAAATGAAAAGAACACGCAAGTGAACTGTACAGAAATAACAAATTTAAAATTTTACAAGAAAAAAAATATATATATATATTGTCTCAATATTTAAGCGAACCAGATTTCATGTTATCTAACCCTCATTTATTTCAAACCGAAAATATTTGAAAGCTCAAATTCATATAAATGCACTATGCATGGATTTGACCGAAGACCTTCAAACAAACAATCGCATTCATGCAGTGCCTATTACGTATATTGCCTCTTGAAATTAGTGAAGTTAGAAGAAATTAATGATCCAATCTAGAACCAATCCAACCCTGGATCAAAAGCATTTGATCTCAATTCAAGCTAAACAAGCCATTAACTTCAATTCAAGCTTGATTCAATCAAAAAATCAATCCTATCTCACTTAATTTTTTATCTCTGACAACAAATTCTTAGTCAATTCTACTATGAAAAATCATATGCATTACAATATAAATCATATAAATTTCAATCTGATCTAAGATTCCTCAATTCAAAGTTCAATATGTGGCAAACTTCGGGTGCCAGTTGGATCATTGACTAAGATCTTCAAAGTCAATATGATTTTTGAGTGATCTTCAAACTTCGAGCAAAACTTACAACCCAAATTTAGCTTGGCTCATTCATCCAAATAATAATGTATTTCTTCATGCTGCTTGGCGCTGAGTTGATAGCTTATTAACTGAGTATTATAATCATACAACTACGATTTACCTAAACATAGCACACGATGAAACTTGCACTATTTTACACAGGGAAAAATTATTAAAAAAATAGATAAATTTTCAGTTAAAAATATATGAATATTTATGAAACTTAAAATTAGATTAAAAAATTTATGTAAACAAAAACCTTTAAAATTTAGGATCAGAAACCAATATGATTTTTAAGTGTAGGAAAGCAAGAGCAACATCTTCATGTAAGCCAAAAACATCAAAGCCTTCGTGCGTCAAAGTTGAAGCCAAGAGCATTGACGTCAGCCAAAATCGAGAATGCCGACCTCTATATGTTGTCAATCTCTGCTGTCCAAATTGAGAGCGTGAAGAGATCCCGGGGTACATTAACATTTGGAGTCCAAGCCAAGCGGGAGAATAGCTTGCATACTAACACTAAAGTTGAAAGCATGAAGGTCGACACTTCACCAATTAAGGTTAACCTCGTTCGTCGTCATCTAAGCTAACAGTGTGTCTCACATGTACAATCGACGCTCAAGATGTCCTAATAAACACAAATTATACCAAAATAAAACTAATAAATAATACTAGTATTAATTTTATAAATTATAGAAATCAAAATAGTGCAATTATAGAGTGGATGTTTTATGCATTATTATCCATGCATAACACATATACACGTGCTATTTTATCACCCAGTGCCTCACCATAAAAATGACTCATGGGGTGTGCCACCACACCATGCGCCATGGAACATGATATTTTGCACTACTAACATGAATTCTTATATGCATCCATAACTTGCAAGCATCCCCAACCTACGCTCATGAGAAACACAACTTATGTGCACTCTGATAAGCTTTGAGTCACCCCCACTCGATGGTGCCCCTAATTACACATCACAATCCAATCATATGCTCAACTTCTTATCATGCATCATGATCCTACCTTTCCCAATACCACAGAAGGCTTCTGTAACACCCAATCTCTTACTTTCACTCCTTCGCTTCATGAATTTCATCTTCACTTTCATTATATGGTGGGTCGATGTCAAGGATTTACCTTGTGATTCTTCCTAAATGCCTAGTTTTCAAGTATTGGTAAATCGAACTTGCCCACTCCCTGTGTAATGTCTGTCATCAAGGGTACTCTTTACGACTATTCTCACATGGCGGTGTCCATTCCCTTCCTCGTGGTTTCAGCTTACCTAAATCCTGTTGTGGCTTATAATATCGGTTCAATTGGCCATTCCTTATCATTTTTTGTTCACGCAGCTGCATCAATTCATCACATTTGCCCACTTTTCTTAATCATATCTTTATTGCTCCTCTTGCCAAGCCAATTATTCACACGCATCATTTGTAGAAGCTGTTGAGAAGGGTTCTATGCATCTAGATCCTTACATTATATTTCCTTTATTCTATTAATAAGGCTTAGATACTTCTCAACACAAATCACCCACTATCTTTCATTGTAAACCCGCTTTCTTTTTTCTTTTCTTTTTTTTTTTAACAAAGATTTTTTATCTGGCTTACAATTTTCATTCACTTTAGTTGGTAAATTTGTCTTTTGCTGCCCTAGTTTGAAGTTATTAGCATATTCACGTCTAATCTACATTTTATTGGTAAATTCTTGGCTGAATTTCTTGACTACCATCATGTGCCGGTCAAACTATCTTTATAAGGATAACATTTTAGAGTTTTTTTTCTCATAGATCACTATGTGAAAGGTCTTCTAATGTGCATGTTAATATGATCTCCATATCTTTACACTTCTGAGGACCCTCCTAGTACCTCAATATGAGTGCTTTTCTCTCATCTTCATGTCCACTTCATCAATCAATCTACAATTTATACTCACTTGGTTTAATTTTTGGCAAACAAATACAAGAGGACACTTCTACCACCAAACTTTTCAAAAAGCATATAAATAGAGTTCTTCTTGAAATAAAGTCAAATGTAGAATTTGAGGTCTTCCCCTCCTATTACTAGTCTTGCAAAATCTTTGTCCATGATTATATTTATTGTTTTAAGGCTCATCATGGTTTAAGAAAGGCATCCTCTAGGGGCCCTAATGTTCAAAAAAAATTTAATTATCATTATGTGGGTATGCAATGTTCAAATAAGATAAATACAAATGCAACAACAACAACAAAAAAGCCTTTATCCCACTACGTGGGGTCAGCTATATGAATCCATTTTTTCCATTGTGTTATATTAAGAGTCAAATTCTCATTTCAAACCAAAAAAAAAAATATCATTTTTAATACTTCCTAACCAAGTCTTTTTAAATTTAGCACTACCTTTCTTAACCTAGGACGGATCTAACACATCTACTCTCCGAACAGGGTCTTCGAAAGGCGACAAAACCATCTAAGACAACTCTCTCTAATCATATATGTCAATGGAGTTAGGTCCAACCTTTTCACGTACAAATGAGATAAATACAAATGATCAAATTAAATAGAATAACATTTTGGATGATGTTCCCCCAATCTAGGCCCCCTTAGATTGAACTTTCTAATCTGGAACCTACTCAAATTAAATAGAACATTCTGAAGTACATGTTGATGTTAATTCAGGCTCTCATTAGTCTCAAGATTATATCAAAAGCTTCCCAAGTTTAATGGATACGAAGTTTCAAATATTGTTTTATACAAAAGCCAATAATCAGAAGAAAAATTTCTTCATTCCCCCAACATTAATAGATTCACAGATGCAACAATTTACCTCATAACTGGTATTTTAGACTTGTATAAGCTAGTTTGATCTGATTGAGGATTTATTCCTCAAATATTTTGTGTTTCATTATTTTTCTGTTGATGGTTCTTTGTAATTGTTTTTATATCAAATCCTTTCACTTATTGGTAATAAAACTTGTTTACAAAAATTCATCCAAACAATGACTACAGTGTGTGAATATTAAATTTATTCCCAGTATACAAATGTACTAAATATGTCAAAGGAGCTTTTAATTGTACTTGTTTGAGTTCAAGCATTTAGCAATGGGCAAGATAACATAAGCTCAAACAGTGTGCAAGGCAAAGTAGCATCGCACTTACATTCGCTCCAAAGAGAAAAATGTAAAGCAAAGAAACACTACAGAGAACATCTTTTGACATTTCACATTCTTCCTACAATTTACATTGGAGCTGCAACACTTACCCAAATGAAAAGATATCCATATTTCAGGGAGAAAATAGCTCACATAGATGCATCTTATGTAAGCAAAATAAAAAAATATATAGGAAGAAAACATATGAAGAGAATGAGTAATATTAAAATAGAATCAGTAAATCAAATAAATCAAACAGAAGAACAAACCAAGCCCATGCATCTATAAGAAAAATAAGAAGTTTGCCATTAAATAAAACAAAGCAAAAGTTAAAATCAATGGGAAAACTAACAAAGAATTACATGTAGGAATGCAGAGTACATGTCCAATTCCTTCAAACAGTAAAAGAGAGCAACCTAGGAGTCGAGCATGTTCTTCAATTCTACAGTGTATTTCAGTTCCACCACTTCAAAGTGAAGTAAAACTCTCCAAACAATTCCAAAAAAAGCAGGACCATTTCTAATTTTTCTAGACAAAGTGAGAAGTTGAATTTTTGTTACTACAATATTTAAATAATTGGCAATGAACTTAGGTTGTGGCTTAAAGAAAATTTTGAGCAATAATTAGGTTAATATTAGAAGCAATTCAAAGCATCACCAAGGATAAAGCATAGGTAAGATAATTTTACCATCCAAATCATCCACATTGTAAGGTGTGTCAAACTCATCTTCAAGATAATCAACTGTTAACTGATCTGCCCATGGACGAGCATAATTTTCATCTGATGAACTTGCACAAGAATGAGTGTCATCACTGCTATAACTGTCTGATTCTGAAGTGCCGTCTTTGTCAGAAGAGACATCCAAAGAATAACTGGAGCAATTACTGTTATACTCCCCAATATTAGAGGATTTGTTCTTCCCTTTACTATTATTCACCTTTGATATGGTATAAATATTAACTAGATCACGAAAGTCCTCATCATATGACGAAGTACAGGATGTCCTGCTATGTTTCACCTGTTTAGCAGTAACATAGAAACGTAATAAAAAAATCATAGCACACAAAAACGATTTTAAACCTGAAGTTGCAAATATTGCAATTGTAATACCTCCCCTTTGTACTACTGCTGCAATGAAGTAAGACAAATAAGCTTTTGAAACAAAGAATAATGGTCAAGTTTATTGGAACAAAGGTTAAAATCTTATGACGAACACAAAAAGGTCCAAAGAATCTACCACAACATGGATGAGCTCCTTCAAGGAAAAAAATGGTATTTTAGGGAGGTGATATTCTTCCTCGGCACAGACCATAGTAATTATTAGACAACACTATCTATCTAACTTTAATGCCAAAAACAAGGTTTAATAAACGAAATCGAGAACTAAGACATCTTCCCTTAACGAGGTGAGCTATAAGCCTCGAGCTCCCAAGAGCTTATGCCTTGAAAAAAAACTTTAAAATTAAAAATAATTCATAAATATGAAATAAATCATTGATATATTTACTTAATTGATTATCATAAAGACATAAATTGTAAGTTTCAATCAGAAATGTTTAAATAAAAGAAATTTTTGAAAATATTCAAAATAAGCACTCCTGTAAAATTTAAATATGTTAAGAGAATTAGGAAACACAAGGCCTCATGTTCACTTTCCTTATCATCAGAAGAGGCATCAAATATAATAATTCTATCATCCACCAAATTTAGGTCATAGGCATCTTCAAAATCTTTACCAATCACCACAGTTTTCTTATTACTCTTAGATTAATTAACAATGGAATTAATATAATTTAAAATAAAAGAACAAATTAATAACATAACTAAGTAAAAAATTATAATTAAACTACTTTTAAAATTTTTTAAGCTCTAACCCCATTTCGTTTATTTCTTTATATGATTGTGATATCGAAGCTACACTCAATTTAGTAGTTCTTTCAATGTGAGCATTGATATCTTCATTCTCATCGTCATTAAAGGTAGTTCCTTCATCTTCAACTTTAAATCATTCATTATTTTAAGCATCATCATAGAATAGTACATTTTCAATAACCAAAAAATCATTCCAACACAAAAAATTCTGTCCCTATAACTTGAGGTATATATCTTTCAATTTTTCATCAAACAAAATATAAACCAACTTTTTCATTCATCCTACAGCCAATTGATTCATTCTCTTCATATACGCTTGATTGAACGTGCTCCAATTATGTTTACATGCATAAGTTGAACAAGACGAAGAACCTTCAGTGTAAATGTTTTGAGTTTAACCGAGTCATCTCCAAATTGGGAGCACCAATATTCTAGAATAGAATGAAGAAGAAATGATTAATCAATATTAAAGTAGGATGTATTCTTTTCAACATAAAATTCTAAGTGAATTCAAATTTATCAAGAGAGCATGTCATGTTGCATGAATGAGTTACTCTAAATTCGAACATTTTATTCTTAAAATGGAAATATTCAAGGTGATTATTAATGTTAAGACAATCAACTTCAGGGATAAGTCTATCCATACATGCATATACACCAATCTTGGCCTTCTTATCCATGTGAAAGTCTTTATTATAATGAAATTTCATATTCAAATAGCATGCAACAGCATAAAAATGTTAATGTAGCCAAAGATATCATTTTTCATCTATAATTTCAAAATTTTCTTTATAAGAAGCTTCTTATCTCCCTAAATCTCTTATTATTTCTTTCTTGCCTTGGTCATAGCTTCCTAGATGAATCACATAATTGAAGTCTTCTTACCATCAACCATAATACCTTCACTAAACACAACTAAGCAACACCAAAAAAAAAAAAAAATTCTTCTTTCATTACAATCATCTTCACATGATTTCCTTCAAGCTTTTTTGTCCAATAACCTCCATCTCATTCTTAAGAAGCAAACATGTCCTCCAACGGTTCTCGTAACCCCTTAAATCTTAGTAAAAAAAAAAACTGTGGCAAATCATGTAACTGATGGCCAGATAATTTCGCTATCTATGAATTTTATTATCAAGCTTAACACCAAGAAATTGTTTTAAATAAATATTCTTGCTATTTTAGCTATGAGCAAAGCATATTTATAATTTGGCAACTATCCAAGTTCTCAAGCAATAAATCAAGACAATTGTTGGAGAAATTTTGTCATGCCCAATGGATTATATATTTTATAATCGAGTACTAGATTTAAATGGTCATGTCCTGGGCGTGGAAAACTAACTAGAAGTGCTTATATTGGAAGGATGCATTCACCGGTCCACAACTAGGGCTTTGTGATTAGCTTCATGCCTTCATCAATAAGCCTAGGTTTAAAAGTCATAGTTTAATATTAACTTCAAAACAATGCTTAATCACAAACATGAATGTTCCAACTCATTTCTTCTTGAAGGTCATTTCTAGATTTTAATTTATTAATGGTGATTAAAGTAGTCATTAAGAGTTTAATTATCTTGAATACGATAGATTTGACGCACAACTTCTATAAATTTATGATAAACAATAATTTGGCTCTCTAGGACTTATACCCAAAATCGTTTAGCTATGCCTACCAAATTAATCTTAACAAACTAAATGCACTATTTGATCAATATTGGAAGGCAAATCAAATAAGCCTTTGACTTAAAATACCTAATCAAGAAAAACATTAAGTTCATGCTTACCATTGAAGGTGCTGCACCAGCCTTAATTTCCTTGATTGCCTCAAACTCACCATGACATCAATCATGTAAAACCCATAACATTTTCATGAAGCTTTCATTATCAGGAACATCATCATCATCAACAAAATAGAAAATTTTTAAATGATTGATTCATCAGGCTCAAGCATTTATTAGTTAAGCTCAACATCAAACCAAAAATCTAATTGATTGGTTATATGGAGTATATATTTAGGGCACAACCTGAACCGGTCCTAACTAGACCGGTTTGCTACAAGAGGCGGGCCCTAAGGAGGGACTGAAATGGGAAGAGAGGGAAGCACATGGGTGGGGCCCAAGAATTAATGCAAGCATTGATGGGAGCTTAGGTTTAGGGGAAAAAATTCAAATGTGGAGGGTTGTTTAAGGATTAAGCATTAAAGAATTGTATTATGCTTTAAGTATTCTCCTTTTGGCTAAGGCTGAAATTTAAGATCTCTTATGTTTGCTTTTGGGGCTCTAAGCTTGGGCTAGGGATTTGGAGAGTGGAATCTTCCTCTTGAATTGAAGATTCATTGTATCAAATTGTTTCTTTTCAACTAGTAGTGCATATCAATTGTTGTTTTTTGGATTTTCCTACAGTTTTTCATCAAAAGCTGCTCATTATTGCTGTTTTTCTCTGATTTCCTGCAAGTTTTCTTTATTTTGGTGGCTGTTTTCTATCATATACCAGCCACATAGTGGTTACAAATTCTGCTGCAAATAAAGAAAGGAGGAAATAAAGGAATAAATTCAAATTTTCAATTTTATCATCCATAAAAGATGGGCTGGCAAAGCCGTGAAGAGAGAATTTTTATGGTTGTTAAAACTATCAAATATTTGTAATATAATTTGATTAGCTTGACCCAAACGATCATGACTGTACAATGATGATTGTCATCCTATCCTCTTAACAACCCTGTGTCATATCCTTTGTCCATTTCCACAACTTTTCATGTTCTTTATTAGTTAAAATTTTGTGACCCATCAGTGATATCACTTTTGAGTCTAAATCTAAAGAATGATGCCAGCAGTTCGACGTAAAATAACCAAACATAGCCACTGCCTACACAAGATACATTGCCATCGCCACTCATGTTGCATCCGCAAGATATTGCAAATGCTGTATCAGAACACGAGTTTCTCATTGTTTGCTCTCTGGAAAACCATCGATCAATTCTACAAAAAGCTCAGGTCAATAGAGAAAGTGCAAATAATGTGTTATAGCAAATGGCCAAGTTGCCCAAAATACACGAGCGCACTGCATCAGCCATGATTCAGTCATCCACTTGATCAAATACAAGTTCATGAAAAAATCATACATCCATAATACCATTTACAGAGGGCCATTTTGCACAAGCAACTCCTTCAAAATCCCCCCTTACGTGTTCTATAATACCACTGAAAGAGTGTAAAACCCGAAATTTGTAGTTCGAATCGTCGCACGCATTTCGATGCGCCGTGACGAACTTAGGCAAAATTTCAAAGTCGTCGAAATTCGACGAAATAAATTTTATTAAATTCGACACGAAATTTTGATCGAAATGGTATAAAGAACTTATATCAAATTTCACGCGGTTTGAGAATTAAAAATCGCCGAAGATTGTTTAAGTAAACTTTTACCCTTTGTACCCATTTTGCCCTCATGAGCTCTTAAGTAAATTTTTATTAGTAAGGGTACATGCGTCATTTAGTGATCTCTCTCCCTCTTATAGACAAAACAACTCCTAGGGACCAAAATATTTTGGTCCCTTGAGTTTTCTTTCGGCCGTGAGAGAGGAGAGTGGACGGGAGAGAAGGAGAGCTGGCGGTCGACGCGTGAGAGCTGGCGGTCGGCAAACTTTTCCGGCGAGATCCTTTAGGAAAAAGTTAGAGAAAGACTTGGAGAAGATAAGAGGTAAGTTAAATTTGAAAAACCTTGTTCTTTTCTTGAGATTTTCTTGAACCAAAATTTTAGGGTTGGATTTTATTTAAGTTTTCTTTAGAAAACATTAGGGCTTGGTTATGACTACATTTCTAAGCCTTAAAATTGAAGTTTGTTTAAAGAAAATCTAGGTTCCAAATTAGAGTTTTTGTTTTTACATGAGATTTTTATTTGAGAATGTTATAACAGATGGTTAGAAGCAAGTTTAGGAAAAAAAAATGATTTTTTGGTTATTTATTTTTAGGTTTTCCAAATTAGGACTTTTCCTAATTTTACCTTTCTAAGCTTGCATGTTCACAAAATTTGTTCCAGAGGGTTATGGGAGCTCTCTAATTAGAAGAAATTGAATTTTTGAAAAAAAAATAATTTTCCTAAATTTTTTATGAATAAATCCGAAATTTTAATGCCCTAAACTTATATATAGGA